CAGGTTCACTTGACTTTTTACCAATTGTCAAAGCTGGGAAGCTGAATCGACGACCTTTTGCCTTTTTGGTAGACTTTGGATCTTGGTTAAGCGCAAGCGAACTCGAAGAAGAACCTATGCCCGTTTCAGGCTTTTGCGAGTCTGAAGAGAGAGTACTGGGACTGGATTCTTCATCATCTGCTGAAGCAAATGATACAGAACTCCCTCCATTAGGCAGTGAACTCGCTAGTTGCGATTTCTCAGTTGGTTCATTAGCTTTCTTATCGTTAGCTTGCTCTTTGGGTTCATGACCGACACTTATTGAGCCAAATGTGTCTTTTATGGCTTCTAGAATCGGCCTCTCATCTGGATCAAACTCTACTTTGACAGTATTCAACCCCCCGTCTGTCTGATTTTCCTGCAATTCGCACAGTCGTTTACAAATTAAGCTATTTACTGCTAGAATGTCCGCATCTTTTCCATGTTTGATAATCTCCTCGGAGAAATCGCAACCATCGATGGTACAGACCAAGTTTCTTTCAATTTCGTCCTTTTGGTTCACTAATACAGAGGCGCGATTATCTCTGATGGTGTTCAGTTCCTTTAGCAACTGATGCTCTTTCTCTTTAATGGCTTGAATAAGGCGACGCGAAGTCCTCCGAATTTGCCACGACACATCATCGATTTTATTCTGCCACCGACCGTAAACCTTGATAATCTCGTACACCGACTTTTGTAAGACAGGAATGTTTTTCTGCGTAGAATCCAGCAACGATAAAAGTGTCGGTTTGAGCGAGTCAACAGCGCTCTTTATTGAAACAATATCATGTCCCTCGTGATCAGTACTTCTTCTACATTCCTTGCACGTTAATAAATCGCAAGTTTTGCAATACATGTCCACACTGTCGCTACAATGTGCAACACAAGGTATTGATGTTGAGTGCTCTATTGGATTTGTTCTATCCACGAATTCTTCAAGAGACAAAATGTCGTGTTCGCGCGTGAATTTTACTCTTCGATGAGCTAGCGTGCAGTCACCGCAAAGGAATTCTTGGCACTCCATGCACCTATGTGAAGCCAGATTTTGGCCGTTTTCACAACCGCTACAATCCTCCTCCCGCTGTCGTAGTTTTTGTCTCTCAAACTCTTCGAGTTTCCTGATAACAATAACATTGGGCTGTAAATCATCCAGATTTCTCGAGGGTAAGTCCACATCTGAATGACAAATCGGACAAAACAGATAATTTTCATTTTCTCCCGTAATTAAACCAATACACTGCTTGCAAAATGTATGTAAACATGGTAGGACTTTTGGCTCTTCGTAAATCTTACTACAATATTTACACCAGATTTCTTGCGGGATTTCCTCTCTGAAAGCTACGGATTTTCGCGGACCGCGTTTTGAAGCCATTTTTTCTGTAAGAAGTGTTCTAGGTAGACTGCTATTAATGATTGTGAGTATTTCTTCCGTTCATCTCCCGTCGCTCTTGGACTCGTGCGACACTTGCCAAGCTCGCGGTGCACACCAGTTAAGTTTCGCAATTGCGGTCACCAAATCCTTGCCGCCAGACCGCTTCCAAAGTGGATTTTTCGGCGATGCATGCAGCTAAAACGCATTGCTTACACGGATGAACCAAACCTGGTAGTCACCTTGCAAAAATATCAAATTTGTGGAGTTTTGAAGAATACCAGGTGTGGTAGCTATTTGTTTTGGTAAGATAGAGTGTCGCTTCAAGGCTAATTCAACTCCGCTTGGCTTTGAATAATTCAAGAAGCGTTTATCATGAGCGACAGGTACTTCAAGCCAGAAACATAACCAGTCAAACAAAACCAACCAGCCATCGGACGACTATTACCGTTTATGTGTGTCAAATCATGGTTGTGGCTAATCTTCAGATTTGCCGCAGTTGCGTTCACTGGTACATCAAAAGTGCCGTGTCGTGTTTTAGGGCGTCGACATATAGTCTATACTCTCGGGAGATTACGTAGCTGTCCACCGCTCTAATTTTGCGTTGTATTAACTTTTATAACTTAGAATTAATTGTTAAGACAATGATGATTGTGCTAAGCTCTTTGTGAGCTAAACCAAAATAAAGCAACAATTTAGTTGTGGTAAGGTGGATTGTTTCCAGTAAACATTCTAATTATGAACATTGGCACATCTATTAAAAACTATTAAATATAATACAGCAACGACCCGACAAATGCCGATAAAACAACGGAAAGAAAGAATCGTGTGGCTTTGGTATGATTTGGGAACAATCAACTCATTTCCGACAAGCGCGAGTGGAATGATTGTTTTATTTAAGAACGTTAATAAAAATAAAAAAAAAGTCGGTGAGTTTTGATAAAAAAAAAAAAAAAACCAACCAACCAACCAACCAAAATGATGATGCACATGCGAGTTCTGATTTAGTCTGTATGATCGTTGCCGTGGTGGTTCAACCAATCATCAATCTGCAGTTAATATGATTATCCATTGACTCGATAGTTTTTAGCCTGTGCCTGGCTTTCAATTTCTTAAGGCGAGCGAAAACGCCGGCGCATCATAAAAAATGGCGAGTAAGCGGGCGCGGCAGTTGGGGTCGACGTACGTTAAGTTTTTCGCTCGCCTCCTGACTAAATGCCTGAAACAGGCCGAGCAGTTTTTGATCACGATTGACTGGTCAAATTCATTCCTTGTAGAAGTGAGTTAATCCTGCTGGGATCTTTTGCCTTTTTTCACATTATCATTGTACTGGAGTTTGTCCTCATCTGCCATGTGCCCAGTTGTCTCTGCTAATAAACTGTAGGCGCATAAGGAAGGTAGGGAATCCTCTCCTTCTATGGTCTTCAGCGCGTTCCGTTCTTTCTTCCCAGTAGCTGTATCTGTCTGAGTGAACACAATGACTATTAATTGCGAACAACTTATTAAGTAATTGTTTTTGTTCGTAGCTATCTTTATTGGCTTGGCTTAGTTTTCGCGTCCTCGTAATTTTTGCTACCTTTTTGTTAGTTAGTCATACATTGTGAGCAAGGCTTTTTCCTGATCTTATAAAGTATTGGTAGCAGATTATTAAAGTGTTTTCCGAAGGATCTCGACATTAGGTTTTTTTTGGGTTTGGTAATTCGTCCGACCAGTATCCGTGATCATCATACCGGTCGTGTTGTCGTACAGATGGCATCCAATCCCTCACTCTGCGCTTCTTCAGTTTCTTCGTTAGTCCCGAAAGTGTGTTTACTTCTCAATATCCCTTTTACTCCCAAGATCTAAAACTTATTCTTCTAGCAGATGACCACATATTTCTTTGTTAGCCAGTACTGAGAATATGGTGTTATATCCGAACAAGGATCCCAAGTTTGATACTTTGCTTAATTCCTACGATATGCCTCCTCAATGGTATATTAGGACTGTGAGAAGAATTCACATTCCGATCAAGGAAGGGTCAAGGGTGGGAGGGTCAAGGGTGGGAGGGTCAAGGGTGGGAGGGTCAAGGGTGGGAGGGTCAAGGGTGGGAGGGTCAAGAGTGGGAGGGTCAAGCGAGAGAGCCTTAGTAAGAGAAAATGAACTATCGAATACAGGTTCTGCTTTTTCGAAATTTGCGTCTTACAAAACATCTTATACAAATTTAACTCAGACGTCCGTATCCGTGGCTATGATTACTGTCATAAGATTTATGACGCTCGGTTGCGTCTAATATCCAGCAGAGGGCTTTACTAATTTCCAGGCTCTCAGTCAGAGAAGACGAACGGATGAGTTTGGGAAAGAAAATCGGCGAATTGTATAGGAAGAAGCAAATCAGCCCCTCATTTCCTCTGTAGCCTGCTCCACTTTTACGCTCGTGCCCACACCGACGTTCTTTCAAGCTAGCAGAGTTCGGCTGACTACGAACTTCTGTGCGGAATGTCCTTTCAATGGCATGCTAAGACTCTGGCCTACTCGCAGGCTCTTCTGATGAGCGCTGCGAAACGAGCAGTAAAGCGTGAGCGTTTCGAACCGGCGAGAATGCGAGCACGCAAGAGGTCCTCGAGGGCTCTACCAGGAAAAATCACTATTGCCAGACCGCTTACAGACCTCTCACGTGCAACGCAGAGGCCAAACGTCGGGCATGCGCGAGGGGATCAATTCTGGCCGGCTGTGTGCCAATTTCCCGCTCAAAATTACACACAAATCTGTGAAAGGAGACAGAAGTAAGAAGAAGGAAAAGAAGAAGGAAAATTCGAGACTTTCCGAATACGAAGCTCATTCCAGTATGGGTATCCTGTTTATTTACCTCTCTATTTTGAGCTTTACCGAAAAGGTACATGCTCTTGTGAGGAAACTTGGTTCTGACAGCGTGAAAGCACACCACTTACAACGATTGCATATACGCAGATTTTTGACCGCTGTGTTCTCACTCGCTCGCTTCATTTACCGGCTGGGCCCACGCGGGCTCCACGCGTGCGCCCACGTTAAATATGAAAATAAAAACTAAAAACAAAACAAAACAAAAAATAAATAAAAAAAGAGTTATAATATTAATTTATGTTAATCATGTGAAGTGGAGGCAAAATAATTCGGCTCAGTTTAGACGTAAAACTACTTATGCGCTAAACTTAATATTTCTATTGATTTTCCTTCATCTTCTGCTGCTGGGAGAGAAAACGAAAAATGACTTCCAGTCAAGGTTTCAGTCATTCCTAAAGCAAAACGAATTTGTCATCCCCAAGTAAGAAAAAACGCCAAATACAAATCCCCTGATATCATTACGCTACACAGCATACATGATACTTTGAAAGGAGGTTGGTCCGATCATATCGTCGATCGTCCACCGAAAGGCTCTGAATTCTCTGTAAAATACCGGGACCTGTTTTAGAATAAACTTTGGAAGCTGTGTGAAGTCGCGTGATTAAGCTGTCGTTAAAAATTGCTTGGTCGCGCATGAGTAGTTTTCTTTCGTTGACTGATGAATATGGCACCAGTTTGAGGAGTAGCACATGATCAGTTGTCTTGTGCGTAACGCAACCGTAAATTTCCCTCACATGCAAATTTTGACTGAAGACGTCGACGTCGCTGTGAATTTTAATTGTTCTGATTTGAATATAACAACGCCAGCACGCGACTTTTGAACCGATTGATTCGCACAAAAAACACAATAACGCTGTCTTAATAACTTTCAAGTATCGATGGCTCGCCTTAACCGAGAAGATCGAAATTTTACAGGATCGCTGCCAGATTTAAAAGCCTCTGTTAAGGCTACCGAACACCAAACGAAAGTGATCGACAGAAAAATATTTATTGTTGAAACACATTTTCCCAAGGTGGCAGCGATGCTTCAACGCTACGCAGTAGGAACAGCCAAATTACGAAACAAGGGCGACGAGCTGGCCAAAACAATAGCGGCCTATGCGGAAGAAGAATCTCCTTCATTGAAGCAAGCCCTTACAACTATGTCTGAATGTTTGTCCGCCATTCAGGATCAACGAGACGCAGAGGTTAGTAAAATAGAAGAGAAACTCGTTCAAGGACTCAGCGTGTACGACACGAAATGCAAGCAGGCTAGGAACGACGTGAGGGTTAGTTCGTCTCTGTCTACAAGGGAGGTGAAGTCATTCGAGAACCTCGAAAAAGCGCAGATGAAATCCACTGATCGAACGCGGATCGCCAGGGCTCAGGCTGAATTTCAGAAGGCGTCTGGCGAAGCGAACCGATCACTGAGGGTTTTACGCGAGCAGATGAACGAGTTCGAAAGTCAAAAAATGCGGGACGTGAAGCAGATTTTTTCGGGGTTTGTGGTGTGCGAGATGGAGCTGTTAGCCCGGTCAATGGAGCTGTATACCCGCGCGTATCAAGGTTTGATGAATATTATCGAAGAGGAAGATTTAGAGGAGTTTAACAAATCCATGACTTTAAAGCCAACCCAGTGGGGTTCAGCACCAGCTCTGTCTAATGCCGGAAGATATGTAAATCCAGGAAATGGTAGAGAAAATGTTTTGGAAGAAGTTGAGGACGAAAGCGACGAACTCAATCGTACAATGTAAACACTGAGATTCAACGGTTCGAAGAAAATTTCCATTTAACTGCGCATAAATTAACCTTAAAGATATGACTTCAAAAGATACACGTTGCCATATGAAGAAAAAAATATAATTCATGATCATAGGTTTTACTCAGAAAAAGGAGAGTATACTTATTCTTTGATAGAAACTTTTGGATTATATTGAATAGAACGATGCTATGCTGTAAAATTATTTACACCTCGAAAAAAGGAAAATGATACGCTAAAAGAAAAGTTAATATAAACGACCGAATTATTTATACAAGGAGCAACTATTGGAACAAGAAAAGAAAAGTTTGCTTTACGCAATCGTGAAGAAACAGCGAAAGTTTCTAGAAGAAATATTTATTTGTTGTAAGTACCATTATGGAATCTTTCAAAGACAAAGAACAGGAAATAACGATATGGAGGAGTTATAACCACTTTTGCCTTTTGAAGTCATATAAATAACGGCGCCAGCGGTACACCGAGAAAAGGGGGAAATTTTCGCGCGCTCTCGCGCAACTGCGACTCACTCACTTGTCCGACTAACTATAAGGTGAGAGTGATGAGGCCCAAGCCGAAATTTTTGCGCTCCCTTTTTCTAGGCTTAAATCGAGAAATTTCTTAGGCCTTTTATCCAAACTGCACGACAATTTCTTCCAGCTTGCTCAATCATAGGACATAATAGTATCACATCCTATTTAGCTTGGGTGTCACGTATCGGTTGTCGGGCCGTCACCTCAGATTGTTTGTTCAGAGAAATATAGGAATTCACGCCAATACACTACCACCACCCTACTGAGGATTATTTTGCCTTTCATCTCACCAAGTAACACGGCAAAAATAAAGATTTTAGGGCAAAAGTGGCCGGGAGGAAACAATTTTTCTTATTAAATCCCTCAATGGCCCACACTTTGTTTCCTTACCTACAATATAAAAATAGAAGTACACACACAACTACAATATAGAATTAAATACAACGAAATTATGGTCAAACCCCTATTAGGAGGTCATTTAACTCTCCCCAAGTGGAACGGCCACTTGATTTGGCGATTTACACTGACAGCAGGATAAAAGCAAAAATTTAAAACTGATTACAAGTTTTACGCTCATTAAATTTACAAAAACCCTCTTCTTAGCCAGAGAGTGGTGTGTAAAAGCTTCTTCAATGTCTTTCCTCTTTTCCTCTAACTTCTTCGTACAAAAGGGAAAAAAATTGTATTTGAAATTCGCCGATTGGTTCTTGGTAGTTCTTTCTGTAAAAAACTGTTACCATGGAGAGTACTTGAAAAGCTTGTGAACTGAAAGCACGAGATGTTTTTTCACGTGCTATTTTTTAGTGATTAAAACCACAACTCAAGGGAACAAAACAGTCGGAAAAATGGATATACAGCTCAATACAAAGGATAACTAACATTTTCATTATCAACGAAATCAGTCTGCTGTAAATAATTAACGAAAGTGATATCTAATAAAAGAAACAGTAGCCTATCATTTTCCACGGGCGTACTGTAAGGCAAGATGCTTTAGTAACGGGTCATTACAAACAACGTTCCGGAAATATACTTCAGCCCTCAGTTCTTACGTTCGATCAAAAATTTGAATCTTGCCCTCCCAGTTCACGGTTTGTATATCAACTTCGGCCTAAATTTTAAAAGTTTTCCATCTGCAATTCTTGTTTGTTTTATTCATCCTTTGCCGGCGTTAATCCGTGTTGGGGTTTTATTATCTCTCAAGTGTTTTCATAATTTTATCTGAAATTTTAAGTATTACTTAAATAGTTTGGCTATTGGAAAAAAGGGTACTCGGATTATCATGACGTATTATGCAACTTTCTCTCTACAGTCTCACAAAATTTTGCTGAAACTAAAATGGATCCAGAAACTTTGGCGGTTAGTTTCGACCCAGATACAGCAAATAGCATGGACGATATTGACAAAGAAATTTTGCAGCTGGCTTTGAAACAAGTGGAGAAAACTTTGCAAGAACTTGGCGTAAGAGTATCACAAGGATACAAGCTTGGATATGAACTGGGGTACATCAAAGGGGTATTAGAACACGTTCTGAAGACAGTACCAGAGTCAGAGGATAAGGAGGCTTACATGAAGGGGTACGTGAATGGTTATCTGCAAGGAATGCTTCATTCTTTCAAGCAAGGAGGACTTCAGCGTGGAAATTGTTCTGATAATAACCGTTACTAGAAACCATACGGAGATTCCTATATACCACCTGTCACTGTATTTCAAAACAAAAAAAAATTATAGTTTAACGTCCGTGTTTGTGAATTTTTTCATGGACAACCGCAATGTTGGGCATATAATCAGTGTTGTTTTAGATCGATTAATCTTTCAGATTAGTATGTTATGCAACGATGGAAGTTGGCTGTCGGTATTTCACTGAGGAATCGTTCCAACCCCTTCTCTATCTAATACAGCTCGTTCTAGAAAGGATGAAAATTTACAGAATTCATATTCTAGACATAAATCGTTTGAATAAACTTTCAAACCAACCGAACCATTTTCTAGGTTCACTACTCCTAAGAGGAGTTGTACAGGAAGAAATGCGTAACTCGCTAAAATGGCCTCGTTGTAACAAGGTAAGCAGTCACAAAACAAGCAATGCACTGTGAAAGTAAAGTGAGGTATTTCTATTGAGAATTTGACTGTATTTTTTTATTCCTAAGATTTCCATACAAACTCTTATATTTTCATCATGACTATTATTACGCAAGGTGATCATCTCACAGCTGGAGCTTAGGCTGCCTGTAGACTACATATGCGTCAGAAATGAACGTCGTTAGACATATTTGAAGGTCATTATTTTAACGCTGAGACTCGGCCATCTGTAGTTCAAAAAAACCACCACTAAGAACTTGTAAAGTGCTGATGATCTATGAAGCAGAATGAACTAAAACACTATTTCGTCCAAAGAAACTCAATCACTCTATCGCAATTTTCAAAAGAGTACTATTACATATACTGTACTCAAAACATAAACGATAACATAGTTCATTAGTTTTCCTTGATCGTGAATCCATGGTACTGTTTGAAAATAAGTAAAACGTGGCTAATGATACATCTCTACAGCGCCTTTATTTGAACTGTCTTACTTCCAAAACTTCAACTTCGAGCCGCTTGCGCCAAATATGAACGTTGCATCATATCTTCCTCTATGCATTGTGCCTACGGTGTTCGTTTCTCGTCCAGCAGCACAAACTTTCGGATGAAACCAAACAAATTCGTGGAAATGAATCGACGGGAAGCTGTTTAACAATCTATGTTTCTTAGATTGATAGAACGATTCGATTCTACTTAAACTCTCGTCCATTCTGTCGTTTCTCGTCTGATCCGCTCAATTCCAGACCTCCATAAAGAGTCATTGATGAAAGTAAAGACAATCCAGGGGCAGAGATGTCATATATTACATAAACGTTTATGTCTGTACATGAAAAACAACCACGTTTTTCTCCTTGTATGTTCAGTACTACCAGTGCACTTGTAAAGCTTCCTATGCGCGATTAGGTTAGTGTCCGTTTTGCAGATAATAGTCAGCACGTGTCTCGTTTTAAAATGCTGCATCTACACATTTGTACCCTGTATGTGTCCATAGTTATGTTACCGTAGAGTGATAGAGGCAGGCTCTCCTTTTATGACAGGTGGATATACTCCATGATAAAGATCGTACTCTCGTCGCAGAAAGGCGAAAAAAACATCAGAAGTCAGTAGAATCTGCGATTAAAAGATAAAACAGCGTTGGTTGCATTTCTGACAGAGTTAGACGAGTTGGATGCTGAAAACCAGAAGGGTAAAAAGATTTTTTGTTGTTGAAAACTGCACAAAAGGACATGACAATCAAACCCTTTAGATGAATAAATGGGGTAAATAGCTGAAGAAACTGAGGTGCTGCGTCGGTGGGAGAGTATAAGAAGTCTTTCGCTCTGATGAAGGGCTAACGCTCGAAACGTCAGCTTTAAAACTCTTTACGGTGGCTGATTTACGTTATCAACTCAGTTGATAATATTTATAAACTCTTCAGATGGTCTCATTATATCCCACCACAAAGGAAGCTCGAACGTTCGAAATATCTACAAATTCAAGTCGCTCTAACTCAGTCTGTTCTGTTTCTTATGGCTGATGTATGTTCCTATAACTTGAGGATTTAGATGCACTAATGATCACAGAAGCTTTTCTGGAGGTTTTCGATTGAGGGTTAAAAAACTAAAACCAAAGTAGTTACAGAACCAAAATTTGCATCCTAATGCGTGAAAAACGCGAATGACCAAGTAGCCATAGGTTTTGGATTTGCATCTGATTGTGAGAGAGAGGATAGCGCAAATTTGCAAGACCAATCGCGGAATGGGCAAAAACCAGTCTTCTTTCGTTACTCGGGTGAAAGATGTTCCCCGAAGACCTCTTGCTCACATGTTCTCGAATAATAATAAATACCTGGGCAGTGGAGTAAGCCAGCGTAATGGCGAAAAAGAAGTTGGCATTTGCACTACCGGCGTAAATCCACAAGTGCCAGAAGACTGGAGCCAAGAACGAACTACAAATTAACATGCACATCACCAGGAGTGCGTTACGAAGATCTACAAGAAGAATAATAGAATTGCAAAATACTCATCAAGAAGCCTGAATTACGGTATGATATTCAGGGGGGCAGAGGGTGTTTTTGTTTCAATCACTTAACCCCTTAACTCCCAGGATCTGATTCTTAATTTTCCTCTCTGGCTGCTGCACAATTCTTTGTAAAATAGTTACAAGAATTTGGTGTTAGATCAAGTTAAAAACTTCTACCTGATAAGTCTGAGTATTCTCATTACCTGTTTACTGGATGATGTATGGATAGTGTAGGGAGACGTTACATGTTTGATCACTTGTGGGAGTTAAAGGGTTAAACCATATAGCAAAGAAATATCTTGGGTTTTACGAACCAGTCACATCAACGTTGATTTGATAAAGGAAAAGGTACAACTAAGAACAGAACAATACGCTTACATGGAAATATGTGAACCCACAGTGCCAAGAGGGCCAATGGTAAAGCAGCGTCACCCAGCGCTGGATAAGACTTCATAATAGCCATCACGGAACAAAGCATACAGGCAAGAAATGTTGGGTTGCCCCTGAAGAAAAAACATATAGATTAATTTTTAAGAATTATCTCAGGAATATGTACACACAGGAGTGACAAAGCTTTGGGAATGAGCTAGATAAGAAATGGGGATCTTGCAAAAATAGAGATGACATGAGCAAGGTCAAACTGCATAAAATTGGTCACGAATAAGTAACACAATTTATCAAGCACCGTGCAACAACAAATTGGTAGCAGCTGTTGTTGTTCTCAAACAAGAGCCAAACTGGTTTCTAATGAAAGTCTACACTAATCTTTTTCACAATTCTTTTTAAACTGTTACCTTAATTTGATGGTCAAAGGAATGCAGTAGAAAAAGGCATTCAGTTGAAACACCCACAAAAAGAAAATCCTAAAATGTTCAAACATCTCAGTGAAGAAGTACCAGAAGAGACCCATGTTAGGTGTGAGATCAGACACCTGTAAACTGACAGTGAAATAAAACAAATTAAAATTTTGTTGGATAAATGTTTAATGGGAAATACAGCAGCCTAGTGGTCAGTATGCTGGACTCTGAGGTGAGAGATCTGTGTTGGAGACCAGGCTGGGTCAATGTGTTGTATCCTTGGACAAAACACTTAATTATCCTCTCTCTCTCTCTCTCTCTCTCTCTCTCTCTCTCCAGCCAGGAGTATAGGAAAGTACTGGTCAATTATCAGAGAAGCCTGATGAAATACTGGGGGGTAACCTTGGGATGAACTAACATCTCATCCAGGGGGGGAGTAGTAACACTCCTAGTTCCTGCATGCTGAGGAAAACAAGATAAGCTCTGGCT